TGGTGGCTGCAGCGATGGGCTGAGGTACAGTGGGGACGGTGAGGCTGGCACAGGACCGGGCAGTGTTTCGTTCTGTTGTACCTAAGGCCACTATGAGTCAGAGCTGACTTGACGGCACATAACAACAACAACAACAATAGCCACCCATTTGATTCTGACTCATAGCGACACATTCGCCCAGGTTTCCAAGGCTGTACATCTTTACGGAAGCAGATCGCCTCATCTTCCTTCCACAGAGCACCTTCCTTCCACGGCCGTTTGAACCGCTGACCTTCTGATTAGCAGCCAAATGTTACACCCACTGCGCCACCAGAGCTCCTTAACAAACATCAAAGAACTGCCAAATTCTGGTTCAAACTGACATACGGCTCTAATAACTGGACAACATACTTCCTAAGACCTGGCATTCAGTTACGACACAATTCTATCCTGACTAAAAAACTCAACAACTCATGTTAAAGTAATAACTGGAGCTGATTAGGCTGAAAGACGAGTATCAGGCCCACCTCCCTGCATGGAACACTGCCCGATCAAGCCTCTGCCGCCACTGACTGAGGGCTGGGGTAGTGACAAGGTCGGGCAATCTACTTCCATAGTGATACTGCCTTGGAAACCCAAGGAGGGGTCGCTATGAGTTGGGTCCGTCTCAACAGCACATAACAACAACAACAACAATAGTACAACCATATACTAAAGACTGGATCAGGCAAAGACCATGAACCGACGCTAAATATTGGGGAAGATTTGATGAGCAGCAGGGTATTCACAAGGTGGTAAAGGAGCCTGGTTGTGCAGTGGTTGAATTCTTGAACCACTTTCATTAACCAAGAGGTTGACAGTTTGAACCCACCAGCCGCTCTGCAGGAGAAAGACTTGAGTATCTGCTTATGTAAAGACTGCACCTTTGGAAAGCTTGTGGGGCATTTCTGCTCTGACATATAGGGTCATTGTTTGGTTACCTCTGTGCTGCTCTAACAGAAAATACCACCAATGGGATGGCTTGAAGAAACAG